TTTATACAAAATGTGCAGTACTAAGTTACTGAAAATAGTAGAAAGAATGTGAACCAGGAATTTAGACAACTAAGTATTTAACATTTTGCATTATCATTTTTTGTACTATTGATCCTGAGAAGGCTGCTAAAATGTCTCAATTCAGCTTTATTAACATCACCTTTTTTTGCAAATCTCCTGTGAAATAGGAGAATAATGTAATCAGAGTGAGAACATGTAGAAACTCAGATTCCTGTTCAATTATTGTCATAATTACTCCTAATATTCAAAAACTAACTACAAGCCCAAATAGAGAGGTATTACAAGTTATTCATCCTTAGAAATAAGAAAAAAAATGGCCCGACTAGAAAATGTTTACTTAAGGTAAAAAAAAAATAGCTTTGCTACATCAAGGTCAGAACGCCAAATTAAGATGTGTCCTGATACACTTCCACAACAAGCTGAATTGAATGAAACCATTAATGACATTTTAAAAAATCCACAATCACTAAAAATTAAAAAAAAAAACAAAACTGCCTAGTGGTTGACCTGAGAGATAACAGCCACTATAGTTGCCAAAGACAGTTCAGTGTTTCCCAAAGAATTACTTGTCTTGACATTAAAGCCACGGCCTGTAATTAAAAACTTTTCAGCAAGTCCTGTTTTGTCTACTCAATATAAATTATGCTCACCCTGACAGTCCATCATAGCAACTAGCTCTTTTCTTTATAGCATCTATCACAGTTAAAAAAAATCCAGACTGCGTGTGTACTCATCAAGCACAGGGAAAAGGAGAAAAGCACTTTCCCCTGGGGTGTGCTCGTGCCACAATCCCTTCTCCTCCATTTCTCCATCTTGTAGGGATTTGGGGCATACACACACAAACACACACGCCTGGTATGCTTCAAGCCACTGGGGCTGGGATTCAAACAACATGATCAGTCACATGAGATCCAGTTCCTTTCACCCGGCCATGGAGCTGACCCTCATCTATCACAATTTCTAATTATATATTTAAGTCTGTGTTTGCTTGTCTGTTTTCTACACTAGGTCATCCGTATGTAGAAAATAAGGACCATGTCTCAAGTCTCTAGCTCATACAACAAGGGCTCAACAAACATTAGTCGAGTGAGTAAATGGGTTGGAGAGTATATGGACTAATAAAAACATTACTCTGTACAGACAGTCTCACTTCATAGATTTATCTTTGCTTACATCACAATTGTATATGTATTCACAAGCCCCTTCCATGGAGGTATTGGATAAATCTATAGAACATTACTGGAAAAATACTTTAAAACTTTTAGCAACATATCTTGTGAATATCAAGAGTACTCATGACTTACTACATTATAGTTTTTTGTGTCTATGGAAGGTGAACATCAGAGCTGTGGAGATGGAATAGTGAAAAACTAGAAGAAAACAAACAAAAGAAAACCAATAAAATTAAGAGGCAGAAGGAGAAACTGAAAATGAACAAAAAGTAGGTAAGATAAAGAGGAGGGGCAGTGGTAATCCAACTGGACTTACGCGGGAAAGATCTCGCTCTGTGTGCTGGGGCCTCCCTGAGCATACTCGGTGGGTGGGTGTGTTGCCACAGCTGGACTAACTTGGGCTGGAGGTGCCTCACGGTGTGATGGCTCTGTTGGGTATGCATGTTTCTCTGTCTCTCTTACTTTTTTCTGTCTCTGTCTCTCTCACACACGGAAGAAATAAATAAATAAAAGGTAGAAATGAGAGGCAAATTTAGACAAAGGCCAAAAAAAGGAAAAATGTGAGGGTCTCAATAAGCCGGGTTAAAAACAAACAAACAAACAAAAAAACTATGTGACATTTCTACTGTTTGACCCAAGGTAATGTGTTTTACATTATTTTCCATTTCTGAACTTTCTGGTCAACTTTCCAGTGAATCTCTGCCCTGTAGCATTTGTATCTTCCCTTTTCCCTGCTTAGAACACCTCCACGTGCCTATCAGTAATTGTCTTCATCTCTGAAGGCCCCATGGAGGTCCCAGTTCCTCTCTTACCATCTTCCTGTTTCGTTCGTTAAAAAAGTTGAAACTCGGGTAAAGAGACATCACAAGTTCACACAAGTGACAACGCTGGGATCAGAATGCAAGAGGAGAGCATTAGGAAGTCTAAGACGTGCAGCCTTCTTTGCTTTAAGGCTTGAAATACCGTACACTTCCCATCCACCAAACCAGACCATGTTTGTCTGGGTCAGCATGGAGGAGATAAAGCAGTGGGAATGAATCCATTGGCTACTAGTTAGTGTCAAACCAGGAGTACATTCTAGAACTGTATGCCATACATTTCTCTTCTTTTTATCCTTTTTTCTTCCTTTAATTTAATCATTGTTCTTCAGGGTATAATATGGTTTTTCAAAGCATGTATGCAGTTCATGTCAACTATGTTAAAGACATTACCATATACCTTATTCTCATTAGATAACTTTTTTTTCTTGTGTTTTGTTTTTGTCTGAGAACCTCTTTCTCTCACTCCCCTGGGTCACTGGCATATTTATTCTTCCCAACTATGCAAAATAACATAGATTAAAGAAAGCAGTCAGTTAACACAAAAATATCCCAAGAGTGCATATAATATGTGGTAACCTTATATCAAGGTGTGCATTGAAAAGGCACATGAGAAAGATTGAACGAGCAAATTCCCATTCAACCATGATGGGATTTGCACACAGTACAAAAAGCAGAACCTTAAGATGGTTTGCTTTTTGCTTTTAATTCAAAATAAAATTCCCATCAGTGTTGTTATGTTCCTCTCAAGGGAAAATAAACTCAAGGTATCCCAGAAAGATTCCACATAGTCATATAATATAAAACCAATATTTATTGTTTGTTAAAACATTTCATTCATGTTTGACATTAGCAGGATTTCATTGGTATGTTTCTTCAGTTGCTTTATTTTGATTTGGAAGTAAGTGCTTATAAAGTATAGGAATTTGTCTTAGAAAGTACATTTAGTTCAATAAGACTTAGTGGGATGAGTTAAATTAAACATGTTGAAAATAATATATTTTGGGGATCAGCAGGTGGTGTGGTGGTTGAGGCACTAGAACCTCATATGGGGATCGGCAGGTGGTGTGGTGGTTGAGGCACTAGAACCTCATATGGGGATCGGCAGGTGGTGTGGTGGTTGAGGCACTAGAACCTCATATGGGGATCGGCAGGTGGTGTGGTGGTTGAGGCACTAGAACCTCATATGGGGATCGGCAGGTGGTGTGGTGGTTGAGGCACTAGAACCTCATATGGGGATCGGCAGGTGGTGTGGTGGTTGAGGCACTAGAACCTCATATGACTGACAGCAGTTCAAGTCCTAGACCTTACTTTATCACTTTCCCTCTCTCTTTCTCTCTCTGATAAGTACATGTAAGCAAGGTAAGAAATGAGAATAGTAACAGTAAATAAAATTAAATAAATAAATCTTTGTAAAAAATCATTTTTCTGGGCCCAGCAGGTAGTGTGGTAGTTTAGGAGTGGTATACCACATGTCTGACTACATGATTAAAATCTGAGACCCAGTGGCTTGAAAAACACTTTGGGCATGTGTGCATGCATACCCAAAATCTTGAAAAGAGAATGGAGGAGGAGGGATTGCAGCATGGCGATTCCCCCTGAGTATGATTTCTCACTTTCCTCTTTCTCTGTCTCTCTCCAGAGAGCACACATGCCATACAGCAAAAACCTAAAAAGAGAATATATTTTTCTTTTTTCGTGTGATAGAAGTTCTCTGGTTTCATAAATAATTTAGAAAAGGATAAAGTACAAAGTGTTAATGACTTGATATTTTTTAAAAAGCAGTTTCCCTGGAATAAGAATAAAAGGATTAAGGGAACATTATAAGAAACAAAAGGTTCTTTATTATTATTTTTCTCTAAGACTTCAAAGAAAATTTCACTATACAAATACTTCTGTCTTTATATACAGTGTCCTGGGTTGGAAAACTCTTTAAAGGAGTGTGTTTATACACACACTCACACACACACATATAGATAAATGATAGATATAAATAAACAATGGATAGATATAGATATAGATAGACAGAGAGAGAGAGAGAGAGAGAAAGAGATAGTCATCCACTGTATAATAACCTTTTGGTCAGTGAGAGACTGTTGATACAGTGGTAGTCCCATAATATTATAACAGAACTGAAAATCTCTATTTCCTAGTGACACACAGCCCTTATAATCTTGCAGCAAAACACATTACTCACTTGTTTGTTATGGTGCTGTTGTAAACAAAATGATCACACTGCCAATCCTACAACACATAGCATATATAATTGTGCACAGTACCAATACTTGATAATGGTAATAAATGACTATGTTACTGGATTATGTGTTCATAATACCATACTTTTTATTGTCATTTTAGTGTGTACTGCTACTTATCAAAAAACAAACAGTATGCCTTGTATGACGGTGCTGACAGTGCCTCATACATCTCGTGTTCGCCACATTTCTAGTTTGTGTCAATTTTTTGTGCTTGATTTGACCCCTTGTTGTGTTCATCTTAGATAGACCTTCCAGTGGGATAAGACGTGGGTAGAAGACATGTATTATGACCCTGAACCTGACTGTGGGTAGTCCTAGGCTAATGTGTGTATTTACGTCTTAGTTGTTACTTTAAAAAAGTTTGAAAGCAAAAATAAAATATTGAAACTAGAAAAAAACTTGTAGAATAAGAACATAAAAATACGTTGTGCAGCTCTACACTGTGTTGCCTGTTAAGCTAGGTGTTATAAGAGTCAAAAAGTTTTAAAGACTTAAAATGTTCATAAAGTAAAAATACAGTAAGCTAAAGCTTATTTATTGTTGAAGAAACAAAAGGAGTTTTAAGGTAAATGTAGCGTCGCTCAAGTGCACCGTATTATACCATCTACAGTCGGGTGCAGCAAAGTCCCAGGCCCTCACAGTCACTCACTACTCACTCATCGACTCAGGCACACAGAGCAGCTTCCAGTCCTGTGAGCTCCTTCCACAGTAAGGACCCTAAACCAGTGTACCTTTCTTTCACTTCTTACATCATCTTGTGCCTTTTCTGTGTTTAGATGCACAGATCCTTCCTGGTACGTTACAGGTGCCCGCAGCGCTAGTGCAGAACCATGCTACACAGATTTGCAGTGGGTAGCAGTAGGCTATTGGCTCATAGTCCCGGCAAGTGGTAGATGGTACCGTGTAGGGTTGTGTCAGTATACTCTGTGATGTTTGCTTACCGACGAAATTGCCTAGCAACGCATTTCTCAGAATGGAACTTGTGGTTAAGGGGCACATGACTGTGTTAACTTACATACACATACATGTATAAACGCCCACACATATATAGACTGAGGAGCAGGGGACTTCGATGATCAGCTTATGTTGGATGGCTCTGCTTTCCTTTTGCTCCTTCTAACTCTGCAATTCCAGGAATTGGGGTGGTGGTCTTGAAGAGAATACAGATCCTCCTTCCATGCTTCAGGCTTGGCAGGGGGCTTCAGTGATGGGTGTCTGTGTGTGTGTGTGTATGCACACATAATTTATATAGAGACTAGAGGAGTGTATGTGCATGTATGTGAAGAGTGTGTATGTATGGGTGTGGGTGTATAATATATATATATATATATATATATATATATATATATATATATATATATGTATATATGTATATACACACAAGATAAATAGACTAAATATAGTCCAGTTACTGGTGGGTATCTTCAGGAGAGAAAAGCTCATCACCTCTAGGTACTGTCTATCCACACTTTCATGTACTCATCTGTTCATCTGTTTATTTTAGAAGTGTTTATTGGCATCAGTATTTGGTAGTTCTGATAGAAATGAAAAAGGCACGCTTCCTGTCTTCAAGAAATACAGTACTGTGAAAAGGCATATATAAAATATGAATGCTCTAATATAGCTGCTTTGAGAAAAATATGAAGTACAGAGAATCCAGTTGAGGGGGGTGGGAAAACGCTGTCTTGCAAGGAAAGGTCACAGTACTGGGGACTCTTTAAAGAAGACCCTGTAGAAAGAAGGATGGGCAGGGTGAAGACTCGGTGATTCCACTGCATGAGTCAGGAAGAATTGTAAGGTCTGCACCATGACTTCAATTCAAGATAAAAACACTAAAAAGGGAGGCAAGAATTAAAAACAAAGCAAGAGCTAATATATGTTCAGGTTAAGTGTAAATATCAGGCAGAGCTCATAATATAAATATCCAGTCAAATAAAATTTAAGGCAAAAAGCATTCCACAGACAAAATTAAACATTTTATAGCAATGATGAGAATGATTCATGATAATCATAAAATGTCAGATAGCAAATAAAATTAGCTTAAAATACATAGCAAAGTTAAAATGTAATATTAGTGGGAGTCAGTAGCATGCTTATCTATGTCTTTAACAAATCTAGTTACAAAAATTAATCAGGTTCTGCAAGTTATAAATTTATAATGTATATTTTATGCTATATATTATTAAACACATTCTACCCTATAAAGAAAAATTATACTTTGATAAGCATCACAGATCTTTTCAGAAACTGAACATGTATAGTCTACCAACAAAAATCTCAATATATTTTTAAAAGTCTTTGATGATAATGCAACAAAACTAGATATTAATAAGAGACGTATATGTGTAAAATACTTGAAAAATAAGGAAGAATATTATAAATAACTTTAAGATCAATATAAAAATAAAATTTGCCATAATAATATAGGATATAATGTAAAAGCAAGTACCATATATTAGATTCATGGAATGCAGCCAAATCTCCATTCAGAGGAAAATTTATAAACCTAAATGTTTTAACCAAGAAATACTGAAAATGAGAAAAGTAAATATGAAGCTCAAGAATTCATAACAAAGCAAAATAAAAATTAAAAGTAAAAGAAGATAAAGGTATTAATATATAAAAAATACAAGAAAGGACTTGAGTAGTAAAAAATAACAAAATAAAAAATAACTGTAAAATATATGGAAGAGATTTAATATTCCAACCTGGCTGTGTTAGTTAAGAGACAGGAAATACAAGGGAGGGGAGTAACAACTATGAAAACTGCAAAGTATTAGTAGCAAGATGATTAGATTAAAATCATAAGACAATATTATTTTCAATGTAAAATCACTATCAACTAAAAATTGGAAAATAAAAATGCCTTAGAATATAACAGATTTCATTCATAATCAGAATGAACCTGAACATGAAAATCATGTAAGACATAAAATAATTATAAAGTTTAATAAATAATGCATCTTCTAAAATGGGGGATATAGAAAAGATTTAGGGAAAAATGATTTGGATAATTTTACGGAAAATCATTCTTCCATATTTAAACTGTTTTAAGACAGACAAAACCTTATAAAACCGACAAAAGGTTGATCCAAAAATTTTCAAAAACAATACAAAGTACAGTAATTGCTATTGTGTTTATGACTATAGATTTGAAGATCCCCAAGAAAACACTAACAATTTGCATCTAGTATTATAATGAAGAAGCAATATAAAAATGATCAAGTGGATTGGGTCCAAAAATTCAATAGTGATCACTTATTATATTAGTTATATTAGTGGATATATTAGAATATTACATACATGCATCAGTAGCTCAAAGAAAACTATATGAATATCTTGAAAGTTATCCAAAGGTATTTGACAAAATTAAGTGTCCAAGGCTGAATGGTTAAAGGAGTTGCATCTCAGACCCAGTGGCTTGGGAAATATGCCAGGCATGCTGTGTGCCCAAAGTTCCAAAAGGAAGGAGAATTAGAGGAGAAGGGATTGCGGCATGATCATTCCCACTGGCGAATGTGTGTACCTTCTGGCAATTAAGAAAAGTTTAAGTGTCCAGTTCCCACAAATGTTTTGAATAGAGACTACATCCTTATGCATCAAAGAAAATCTATACAAAAAACATTATACTTAATAGTGACATAAAATAAAACCACAGGCACAAAGATTAGCAAGGAAGGAACAAAATAATCATGATGTGTAGATATGATTCTTTCTCCATACAAGGCAATAGATGAAATAAAATGTAATCGAAAAACATTGGAATGCTCTTAAAAGTACTAGAATAATTGGGTGGTGAGGTGCTTCCATGCCTTGGGAATGTTTCATGCTCAGTATTTAAATTTGCCCAATTATCTGTGAAGAAATTCTCATCTGTTCAGTTTTCTGATGATGGCCAGTTTTTATTCCCTCTCTCTCCCCATTATCCCTCCATTTTTGTTACAAGGCTGTTTCATAATCCCAACCATTTGGCCTCTTTTTATTTTTTCCCTTATCTTACCTACAAATTGGCCCATTCTGGAAGATTCCACTTTTGCTCTTAAATGGCAGCAGCAGCTGTTTCCATAACCTTGCAACACATCTCAACATATGGATTTAGACTCCTACTTTCTTTTGGCCCTTATGCCTTCACCTTCACAAAGAAAAAAAAAAAGCATAACAAATGTCTTTGAAGCACGTGCCTTCTGGCTGAGTCAATCTGTACCGTTTCTTTGACATCATGCACAGACAATGGAGTTAATTCTTGTACTCAAACGGAGACTTTGGTCCTCAGTTCAGCTCTTCGTTTCCATCTGACATCCTCTGTGGATCAGGGCAACTTCTGTATCACTCAGAGGATGTACACAATACTGGCCATTGTCACTGACTTAAGCCAAGTGACTTGGCTGTCACATGGACGTTGTTCTCATCAGGGAAAGTTCTATTTTTGACATAATCAACTCAATGACTTCATTCTCTCTCCCAGTCTCCCATTCCTTCAGCCCCTGAGTTCAACATAATTGGGACACCCAAAGTGAAACTAGCACACATGCAAATCACTTATGGGCCTTTTTATTGTTGTTTGTTTGTTTGTTTTCCCATAGGATGTGTGTGCTTGCAGGAGAGAGACAGAGAGAGAAAAAGTGAGAAATCACCCCCCAGGAGGTATGTAATCCCATCTTCTCCTTTCTCCTCTTGAGATTTTGTTCACACACACACACACACATGCATCAGATGTGATTTTCAAGCCACCAGGTCCAGAACTTGAACCATGGTCAGCCATGTGGGAGTCCAGAACCTTAACCACTATGCCACCTGCTGGCCCTCATGCAGATGCTTTTTATCCCATCAAAGACCAATTGTTTTGGAATATGTAGGTTTCTGATCCAGGCTCTGGTATTTTAGAAAAGTTCCCCAAGTACATATATGCAGGTTAATAAACACTTCCTGGAATATTTATACCTCTGCTTACATTTCTCTTTTCACTGCCTTTTCTTTTCAGCTTGGATTTATAAGTCTCATCACTTCAAATTTAACTTACCAATAGCCTCACTTCCATTTTTCTGTCATCTTCTCCATTTCCTCCACCTGGTGAAGCTAAAGCCCTCATCAAAAACTATTGCCTTGAGCTTCCATGCAGTGATGGAGGAAAAACACCCCCTACAACCCTAGCACTGTCACTAATTTTTAGTCATAATAAACAATTGTCCTAAAGTCCTACTGTGTTCCTAGTAAGCTCAATTTTCGATGTCTCTGTGGCACCTCTACCAAACTATCTTCATTTGCTTCCAATCTCTAACTCCATCATCTCTCATAAAAGTACTTAAATGACAATGTCACAGTGAGAGGAGAAACCTTTTCATGAAAACGTCCTGAATTTCCAGCTAGTTCCTCAGCAAACATAGATGCTTCTGCACATTACCTCTTTCCTTCTATTGCAATGTCAGAAACGTTTCATCTCCCAACTTGTTTGCTGAATTCCTTTGACTCCTCCTCTAATGTTTCGCTTCGTTACTTATCCACACGTAGCTGGTCTAATGGAGCCACTTCACAACTTGGATTTGAACTCTGACTCCTCACTAATTGAACGACTTGCTCAGGTGACCTACCTTCTTAATGCTCCTATTTTGACTATAAAGTCAGGAGAAGAAATATTCACATTTCATAAAGTTGTTGTAAGAATTGAAAAAAAAATTATTTATGTGTGTGGATACCTTAGAAGAGTGAGCACAAGAGTGAGAAATAAATTATCCTTTCACTCCTGTTTCAAGTCTACCAAGATATTCATTTCTAAACAGCAGCTACACACACATTTATACACAAACACCGCCCCACATTCTCCTCTAGTAAGGAACACATTTTTCTCTTTCTATTCACCGCCAAACATCGGGAAAGCCTAAATTTTGTCTCTGCTCCTATTTCTTCTTTATACTCTACAACCTTCCAGAATCTGGATTTTTC